CTTACCATTTTGTTAGGTTGATTATGGTTCTAATGCTCCCAATCTTAAAAAATAGTTCTTGAATGATTTGGGCTCTGTGATTTTAGGTTAATTTGTTGCCTTATTGGAGATTTTAATCTCATTAGATGGCCTCTACGCATTATTACATTAATGCCAATATGAGATTTTTTAACAATTTCATTATAAATCATGGTCTTTTGGATGTCCCCATAATTGGTATTCAATTCACGTGGTGTAACAACTCGATATTAAATTTGATTATGAGTAAACTTGATAGATTTCTTATATCGAGGAATTGGCAGAGTTATTTTTCTTTGACAAGTGTAAATGGTTTATCAAAGCTACCATCTAACCACAATTATATTCTTCTAAACACTAGTAATTCTGTTTTGGGCCCTAGGTCTTTTAGTATGGAACTCATATGGTTAGAAGACAATGAGGTCATTGTATTATGAAACGCACTATAGGGAATATTGTTGTTTATTAAAGAGTTGGATATAGAATACACAAAAAATTGCTATATGTGAAGTATAGGCTGCTTGAGTGGAACAAAAACAATTGATTCTATATCAGAGAGAGGCTTGATAATACATTGCTAGGCATTCATCTTATTGACCAGGAGGTGCAATAGATGGGGACCTTAACTTTGCAACAATTAGATGATAGGAGAGAATTACATCATACTTTTCATGAACTCTTAAACATGGAGGAGATATATTGGAAACAGAGATCAAGAGTAAAATAGATATCACTAGTATTCCTTTCCAAAGTGTAGAGGAGGGTGACATTGATGTTGGGAAAATGGTTTTGTGCAGCGTTTCCATCAGGTATTCACCTCTAAGCAAAGCTTCGAAGTTTTTATTTGGAAGGTGTACTATTTAGCAAGCTTTCCGAACATTATGCTTCTCAGTTGGAGGCCCCAGATACAATAGAAGGGTTAAAATATGTGGTGCTTTCATACCGGCAGAGTAATCATCGGGACTTGATGGTTTTCAATTGGATATTTTTCATAAGTTTTGGGATGTGCTAAAAAGGGATCTGCTGGATATGTGGAGGAACTCATGAATAAAGGAATTATTGATAGGGGCATTAATTCCGCATATATCGTGTTGATTCCTAAGAAGGATATGAATTCATCTATCTCTGATGTGCGCCACATACCTTGCTCGGTAGCCTATATAAGGCCATTGCTAAAATCCTCGCTGAAATGCTTAAATTGTGCTATCTTTCATCATTAAAGTTCCACATTTTTGTTGCCCAAGAATGCATCCATTCGAGGTCATTGCAAGATGTGTCGGGCATCCTACTTAAACTTGACATGAAAAAATCTTATGATCGAGTTAAGTGGCAAATTCTGATGGAGCTTATGAAGCAGACAGGTTTCAGAACTAAATGGAGAAAGTAAATTTGGAGTTGTCTTGGTAGCGCCCATTTCTCGGTTCTAGTTAACGCTTCCCCGAAAGGTTTCTTTGGTGTAACCAGAGGTCTGAGACAAGGTGACCCACTATCTACATCTCTATTTACTTTGATTGGAGAAGCTTTTAGTCAATAACTGTGAGAGATTGAGTAAAACCATATGGTTTAGAGTGGCTAGTGGTAAGCCTTCTATCTCGCATTTGCAATATGCAGATGACACTCTAATTTTTTATGGAGTTGATGATTATCAATTTTAATATCTCACTAAATTCTTGGTCTATTGTGAGTTGGTTTTGGGGTTAAAGGTAAATTTTAATAAGACCACGCTTGTAGGTATTAATTGTGAGAATGGTCTTTTAGATCATGTTGCTTCCATCCTTGGCTGTAAGTTGGATTATTTTTCTATCTACTTAACTTGGCTTACCTCTCTCTGATTCTAAACTATCTAAATCAGTTTGAGATCTAGTGGTTAAGAGGGCGCATGGGATGCTTGACCTTTGAAAGGGCGTGTAACCTTGTGAGTTCTTGTCTAGCAAACTTTCCTATATGCTAGATGTCGCTTCTTGTTATGCCTTCCTCGTTTTGAACGGATTTGGAAAAGATGATGAGAAATGTTTTTAGGGAAATGTTGATCAAAAAGTCCAGTATCACCTGATGAGTTGGAACAAGGTTTGTGTACACAAGATGGAAGGTGGGTTGGAGATCATAAAGTTAAAACTTGTCAATATGTCTTTGTTGGCCAAGTAAGTGGTGGAAAGCTCTACTTTATGATAATCAATTATGGAGATAAGTTATTGAAGTCAAATATGGTTTCAATCGTGACTTTTTCAAGGGTTGTAGGCTCTTTAGGAGAGCTCAAGTTTCAAATATTTGAAAAAGAATTTGGGGTGTTAAAGAAGTGGTCAGCATGAATATTAAATAGTAGTTGGTAGTGGAGATAAGATTAACTTTTGGCATCCCAGATGGATAGGTAATTGTGCTTTAAAATTATCCTACCCACAACTATTTGAGAGAGCTTCAAACCAATTGGCTAAGGTAACGGATTTGTGGGTATCGCAAGGGCGGTAATTCTTTTGGGATTTGGTGTGTTTACAACAGAAATGTAGGATGTCATCATTGATCAATTGTCCGCCTTGTGGAATGATCTTAATTGAGTATACATTTCTTCCCATGGTACAAATGAGGTGATTTAGGAATGTGAGCAGGATGAGATCTTCTCAGTTAGGTCCGTTTATAGATTGTTATATCATGATCGATTTTGAGAAGATAGAAGCTCACTTAATGTTTGGAAGTTGCCCATTTTGCGCAAGATTCAAGCTTTATTGTAAACATTCTTCAAAATAAGACCCTTACAATAAGTAATTTGAGAAAAAGAGGTACACTATGGATAAATATTTGTTTATTTTGCAAGGGCAATGATGAGAGTGGTAGTCATCTCATTCTACATTGTCCTCTCTCTAGTGCTATTTGGGGTTGGGCCCTCAATTTGTTGGGAATTCATTTCATGTTGCCTCATGAACAATCTCATATTTTCAAGTATTTGGAACTTAATGGCATTCCAAAAGGATAACGAATTGTGTGGAAGATTTTTCAGGATAGCTGGGTAATTTGGAAGGACCTGACTATAAGGGATTTTAAGGGTATTGTTCTTGGGAAGGAAGATGTTAAAAAGAAGAATCGTGGATGACTTATGAAGTTGGTCTCATGTTACAAAGGAAGGCTTTGGTGTTTTGAAGGAGGATGTATGGATGAATCTAAAGCATATTGTAATAAATGCTTCCTGACATATTAGATCAAGAGGTAGATGGCACCCCGCCTTTGGAAGGTTCTCTTAAGCTGAATTTTGATGGGAATTCTTCGAAGAACCCAGACCAGACTGGTTGTGGTGGCGTGGTGCGGGATTCTAATTGTAATATTCTTTCCTATGCAGGCCCTTGTGGTTTCACCACACCTAACCATGCTGAATTATCCTCTTTGTTGATGGGACTTGGATTGTTGACGGATAAATATCCAAACTCATGTTGAATTATGGAAGGTGATTCATTAAATGTGGTTAATTGATGTACTAAACATAGCAGACATCCATGGAGAGTGATGCCGATGAGGCTAGAGGTTATGGACATCTATCAGAAGTTGATGGTCTCATTCAAACATGTTTATCCCAACACCAATTCCACAGCTGATGGCATTGCTAAATTTGGTGTGAACCTAGAAAATGCTTTTAGTTTCTAATGATTTGATTAATGTATAATTCTATTGTAGCTCTTCAGTTTGTTAATGAAATAATGCCACATTGTAAAAAAAAACAAAACAAAATCTACCAAACCAGTTTTCTGGTAAAAAAAACTCGACTTGTGCTCTGGATTTTTTGCTGCCAATTCAATAGATTGACTTTTTCATTCTCATTTTCCATTTAAAAAAAAAAAAAAACTGACTTTTTTCCCAAAGATATATAAAAACTACTTTTTTTAGAACTACATGGATATCTCCATCTTTGTAGAGTTGCATGTTTCTACTGAGAAATTAGTGATTTCCTAGAGAACGAGGTAGTTTTCTATCCTGCGTAGGTTACTTAGCAAATAATTTCGGGTTTGGGAAACCCAAGCTTCACCTGAAGACTACTTCATCTGTGAGGATTCTTCCTGCAACTGTGCAGAACGAATGAAAGGTTTGTTACTTCATCTGTGAGGATTCTTCCTGCAACTGTGCAGAACGAATGAAAGGTTTGTAATGTTTTTTACCTTTTAAGAGGCAAATGGTGATACATGAGAGCTTATTTCTTTTTATTAAGGCATGGCTAATTCCACAAAAGCTCGAGGGGTACTTCCTGCCCAAAAATTAAGCCCTAAGTCACTTACCAACAAATGTAGCCCTGTAGGATCTCCTTAGAGGGCCAAATTCCACAGAAAAGAAGCATGTCCTAGTAAGGTAGGGCAGGGAGGATGAGCCTCGGGCCCTAATAAGGTGGAGCAAGGGTCCAACTTTTTAAACGCTGAAACCACATAGCCAAGAGCCCGAATCCAACGACTTCACTACCGGTTTAAAGGCTTAAAGAGGTTTCAAAAGTTGTTTTGACATACTATAAAAAAAACAGACATTTTGAGAGAATTTTCTGCAAAAACAGACACTTCAGAGGATCTGGTTTATAGGCTTAAAGAAGTTTCAAAAGCTGCTTTGACATATTATATATATATAAAAAAAAAACCAACATTTTGAAAGAATTTTATGCAAAAACAGAAATTTTAGAGGATTTTTCCATTTCTTGTCTCGGTGTTCTAATGTCTCGCACATATGCTAACCATGCATATTGATCACTGCCAGCAGGTCCCTTTCTCTTTAAGGAAATTTATCAAATTAACTATTCAAATTTTACCCATTCACATCAATTCCAACTCATAATCATATGGATTTTGATTGCCATTTTGAGACTAAATTAAAAAAAAGGGGGAAGAATATTAAATAGTTTCTCTCTACTGGCTATCCTCTAGATAAATTTTCCTTTTCTTTTACATTGTTATTCCTTTATGGTCCGAGTTTCTGTTATGTACTTCCTTACCTTCTCCATCCTTCAAGATTCCCAAATATTCAAGGAGCCATTAAAACTGGAACTCTGATTCTTAGTCCCAAAAAAGCCAGAAACGCACAAGACAGAAGGGTAGAAAGCTACCCACCACGGCCCCAAGAGTTAAGGCAAACCCACAATTACATAACGGTGATAGATAATACAACCACCACAATATTTTCATCATCTCACTCTTTACAATCCTGAACCATTATTCTAATACAAGAATTGAATCATCTATAATATGGTACAGCATTGGTTGGTTTTCTTGGCTTGCTTGTAGAACATCTGCCATGCATAATGTCTTTGTTTCAGCTCTAAAATCCAACACTTTCAGATGCAAGAAGTGTGGTGTGATTAAAGGTTAGGGTAACTACATAGTCCACTTGATTATGGTGTATGGTATTCCATGGTTACATCAACCATTTCCAATGATAAATGGTTGGAGATCAACCTGAATGGGGTCAGTGGAGACATTCTCTAAGGTAAAGTTCATCTCTAACCATACATCATTGTGAACAGAGGACGTTGTCCAGTAACCCATACTATGATTCAATGGATTCATTTACCCCAAAACAAAAAAAATAATCCAATGGATTATGATACACATTCCTTGCATGCATAGAATATTAAGAGGGGGCCGTAGAATGAACAATCACGAAAAAACCAGGTCCTTTCAGAAAATACTATTACAATTGACTCTAGGAAAATCGTAGCCCATGGGCCATCACCATCAGTTGAGAAAGATGCACAGCAGTGGGAGAGAGGAAAATTTGAAAACCACCACTGGGCCCATGTCTTTTCTCGCTGAAGTCTCATTGTCCATCACCATCCATCATTTCACTAGAGGGTAATGACACAATGCACTATGATTTTCCATGTCCGATCAGATTATAAGAGCATACTTTCCTCTTTTTGGGAATACTTCAAATAATTGAAACATATGATATACCTGAGATGCAGCACTCAGATCTGAACTCTTCTCCACTAGACTGTCCAGCTTCTCTCCCCTTTCAAGCACACTGTCAATTGTCTTATGCTGTGACAAAGAAAAGCATATCATCAGGTGGTCATGATTCAAGTTCAAGGAAATAAACAAAGAAGAAAGAACGGGATTAGGCAATAACAATATATGCCCCCAAAGTACCACGCATACCCTTTTCCTAATTATCTCACACCCCATTTTCTATTTTTTCAGTAATACACCCCATTTTCTTTCTCTTTTTACATAGCATTGTTTCAAAATTGAAACAATGCAATGAAATTGCTTCCCCAAAAGGCAATTCTTGTATGATACAAATTTCTCATAAAATCATTCAAACATGACCACAAGGATCAGACAAGGACAGTATAATTCTGAAAAATTTCCGTGTGTCTGGCCTGTATTGGACTGCTTCCCCATGTGTTCATACCCACTTATTGTTGTATATGAATAACCCTTGGCCCACTCAGAAAGGACAATAACCTATATTTCCCACACTCAAATCTGGCAAAAAGGAAAAAAGCCACAAATAAGAGCACAATAAGCATGGGATAAGTTCTACTCACACTAAATCTCAAATAGGACTCTTTTTGCTTGTTTGGAAAACCATACTTATTGCTCTTCAAGGTAGGGTAACACAAAGTGTATCTGACCATTCCATGTTTTCCTTTTTCATACCCGACTATTCCATGTTCATCTGACCATTGCTGGACTACCATCCTTCTAAATTATGCTGACAATATGCTATTCAAAAGCATATTATCCTCAAAACTGTCATCATTCCCATAATTATGCTCAAGAGTATCATCCCATTGGATTCACATATTACAACTTTATCCACATACTTCTCAAGTGAAGACAAAACAACACATATTGGTAGAGAGCCTACCATAAGTGCAACAACTCATCCCCAGACTGTTGGAGCTCTAGTAGACAATGCACTTGACTCACACAAAAGCCCCATCCTAACAGTGTCTATCACATTGTACAATACACGTGGTTCATCTGATGGTGCATATTATTCATGTTTTGTTTCTTTCTCTTTGTATGCAAACTATAATTGAGTGGCATGACCTAATGATTGTTGGACTACCATATGCTCCTGCCTCTTGCAGTTTTTTTGTGTGATAGTGAGAAGCAGAGGAGATTCAAATTTCAAAATGAAAGCAGAAGTCGCATATCCTGCTAGATTCTTTAGATAAGAGAATTCATAACAAACTTATTAGCCTGACACATCTCACAGGTACAATACGAAGGTCATGCAAACAATACTTAATCCAGAATCTCCCAAGCTGGAGAAGTATATCAAGGTGGAAGGTCACCACATTAAGGAGGAGCACCAGGACAATTTCATCAGGCTTTGTCACATATTCTGTCCTTAAGCTGCCAACCTTCTTACTACCAAGCCCATGATGCATGAGACTTAACTTGTCAAACAATGACTTAGAGCCTGAGTTTCAGGGAGGGTATCAAAGGGGTGTATATGTTTAAAACAGCCATTTCATATAAGGAATTTTTTGTCCTCTGTAAATAGAGACTCCATGCATTTGTAATAGGATTTTTCTTCAGGGGATTCTGCCATTTACCTGTTTATACTTTCTGAGTACAAGATGTTTATTGCTGATCTCAGCTGATTGGCAAAGTACAATTGTTCTTCCACAACACAATTTTCCGTATCAGATCCCATGGTCCCATTAATAATCATGTTTGGTGCAAAAAAAAATCTACCGTCCAATTGTTCAAGATTAAAAGAAAAAACAAGGAGTCAACATACTTAAAATGAGACAAAAATGAGACAGTCCAAATCATGAGTTATAAAAAATCATTAGTTATGAAAACTCAAGACATCTCAGCCAACAAGGCTTCCAATAAAACAAACTCCAGAGTTAGATAATAACCAGGCAAAATTCTCAACATTTAGCCTAAATCACGAATAAAAATAGTATGAGTTATGCATACCAGCTGAAGTAACCCAATCAAGAATATAAACTTACAAGAATGATTTTGGTCTCGTCCAAGTCCCTCTGAATTTTTAGCAATTTATCAGCTTCTGCGGGGTCCTGAAAAGGAGAGAAATACATTTATGTACACATGCTTTGGCTAAAAACTCAATACAAAGCAGGGTGCATGAACTTAAATAGAAATTTTTTTTTCTTGACATGTGAACTTAAATAAACATTTGAAGAAAAACAACAACTGTTTGTAAATACAATAAGTTGTAAGGATGCGTAGCAATCTATGAAGCAAAAATTTTAATTACCTGATATTTGGTGAGAGCTTCACTTATATAAGGCCAAGGTTGAGTTGCATCAAAATGCATGGTTCTCCAGGACTCCCCAAAGCTTTTCTGATATTCATCTAGAACCTGCCGTAATGTGAGCACCCCAATTCAACATTTACCAAACAACACTACTGACTGCCAGTCTGAACCTCCTCCAGGAACCTTACAATTATAACAGCCACCACAGGCCAAAATATAACTTACTATAATAGGGAAGTCATACAAATGAAAAGCATGGCCGCGTCTTGTCATTCTTATAAAACAAAAGATTTATTATGAATGAAACTAGGAAAATAATGAAGTACTGAATCTGGCAATCAATGATAATCAAGAAACTACTTGTTCCTTCTTGCTGTTTGCAGAATATAAAAGATTAGTATTAGTGAAACTATAAAAATAGTGAACTACTACATCTTGGAATCAATGATAATCTAGAAAGTAGTGGTTCCATAGAGGTGCAGAACACACAAAACATAACCATATTGCAGACGTAATTTCAGTCATATAAACCACATCCATGATTACAAAACCATACTACTAGGCACTGTTAATATTTTGAACCAGAAATTGTAAATCATAGTGATAGAACAGCGACGGAAAATAAATGGCTACTGCATACCATCTCAGTAAGGCCTGTGACAGTATACAGTATTGAAATATTCGAGAATCAGTATCATGCAATATTCAGATGTTTAACCCCATTTACTGAGCCATCACCGACTGTCAGGTGCCAAAGTTGTAAAGAATGTTGCTCCAAATGGTTCAAACTTTTCTTCTCAAAGTCATTCCCATGACACCCTCGGTCTTTGGTCTTGTGGTAAGACAGACACCTGGTTACACTAGGGTGGTGGTGGTCAACAATTCAAACCTTTATATTTTATCCCTAGTGGTCAACTTTCGAAACAAAATGTGTCCCTAAGGCACCAAGCTACCCTAACCAAAGGAAATAGAAATAAGTGGCGATTATAGCACCATACACCTCTTGAAGTAATCCTTAACCAACACTTTGGAAGGCGAATATGAATAGGCCAACCATGGGAAATGAATCTCCAGGCTTCCAACTGGCATCCATTAACATGGCACATAATCCAGCATGCTCCTGGAATCCCTTAATATCTCCCAAGATCATGAATCCCTAACGAATTATTGTCTTTTTGTACTTGCTATGCAACTATAAACATACTTACCCTAAGCGAGAGGTTCATATTGTCCCTGTTGTGAATATTTAACGGTCCTACTTTTTTGTCGCCAGCGGGCTTCTTTTCTTTCTCTTCTGGTTTTTCTGTCTCCTCCTGGACTTTCTACATTCTTGTAGAGGACCCAACCTGTGGGCTGCCTCATCCCGTCTCTTGTGGATAGTTTTGTAAATATATTATCCATTAATACAATGTCATCAGTTCAAAAAAACAAAAGAAAAAGAAAGCAAAATAAAAGTGCAAGGTCCTTCCCAAAAGCTCCAGTGCAACTTACAAAATGGAATTTGTAATTCTCGTGACCACTCAACAGGAACTCCCTTCCTCCTAGTGTTTTGGCCCTTGGTATATCAATATATATGGAAAATTGTCAATTAGTAGAAAAGAATAATGTAAACGGAAGCCCTCAAGACCATAGCTCCGTAATCCAAGGAATGAATGCAATAATCTACATCTGAATCTCTTGATCACCAAATCCAACAACTTTTTCCTAGGCACGTAAACAAATAAAGAGACACCGAGCACTTGTTGGGAAGAGTCTCAACCCAACCACCAACTTTCCTCATATTCCACTATGGCCATCTTATTGCATGTCCTGATTATATCACTACTGTTAAAATATGTTAGCATAAAAAAAAATGTTAGTTTTTAAACCTAGAAAAGAAAAAAAAACAATGTGCAAATAAAACTAACATATTTAAATCCAAGAACACATATTTTAACAGTAATGATATAAACATAAAAAAAATATGTGCAAATAAAACTAACATATTTAAATCCAAGAAAAGAAAAACAACAAACCTCAGAATCGTTACTTGGTGAAAAACATGAAACACATGCAGATCCAAGTAAACCTAGCTACAACCATTCAAGCAATCTAAACCACAAATGATAAAAACTCTAAGTGTTACTTTTCAAAACTCAAAACGACGACTATGTAAATCATTGAATATGTACCACTAGAAATATAATTCAATAAGGCAATACGCAAATGGTTGTAGCTGAATGAACCGGTAACAAATAGCTAATATACTAATACCAAATAGAAATCAGATATTACCTTATTGAGAATAGAGAATGCACTACGGATGGGGTAATGATCATCCGCGAAAGCCAAAGCACAAAGACCATTTCTGTTGTAAGAATGCACCTTGTACTCTGATGAACCAACCGAACACAAATTACAGCATTTGTTATCTTTGATTTCTCAAGCAAAACTCATAACAGAAGCTACCCAAACTTTACAATGAAGTCAAAAGGTTCGAAAGTGAAATTTTTCTACATAACTTTGGTTTGATGCCACTTGTATATAAAAATATTATCTATGAAGTAATAGCCCATTTTGTTCAACATGCATATTTAACATTAAAGAAGTTTCAAACATACTTGTCAGCATATTCTGTTATTAACCCTATAAACTGTAGGGCTTATGCTTCTCTACATGGCATTATGCTTCTCTACATGGCATTAGTAGTCAATTCACATCATATTTCAAATAAGTAAATCTGGAATCATCCAAGACACGCTTTTCATGGGAGTCGGCCGCCCAATGCAAAAACTTTCCCTCCCATTTCATCTCCCCTTCTCCTTGCACACTGTGTCTTCCTTTCCTTTGTCTGCACCTCATGGAGCAATTTAATGCTTCCATTTCCCTTAACTCTCAAAAAAAGAAAACTAAAAGAAAACAATCCTAATTCCTAGTTTAATACTTACGAACAATACCCCAACTTTAGGCTAATAAACCATGGCAGTTTAATTACAAAATTCACTTACCCAAAAGTACATTCCCATGAAATATTCAAGAATTATCCTAAAATGATTGCAGAAACCATCAATAATAATAAAAAATTCACATGACAAGGTTCCGAACGACATGCCAAGTAACTGAAATCACCTTTAGCTATCAATTCCAAAACTCGGTCCCCTTCTCTAGAGCTAGAGAGTATTTTATTCTTCATC